CTTCATATCTTTCTCTGCAGTTCAAATATATGATCTTTCATATATTCACTTGTATTCTTCACCATCTACGCGTATATTACGAACTCACAAAGTGACCAGCTCCCAGATGGCTTGATAGCTCAGTTGGTAGAGCACTGCACTGGTATTGCAGAGGTCATGGGTTCAAATCCCGTTCAGGTCTGAATTTTTTTCAGGCTTCAATTTTGACAACTGCTTAAGTTGTGTGCATAACTGCGATGATCAATCATGTCGTGATATTTTACATTTGTTTGCCATTAGCATTAAAGAAAACCAAACTCTTAGAGCTCTGCACACAATAAAAATATAACACAGAGTTTTCACTCCCCCAAAACATCTAGCGCCCATGAAGTCTAAGTTAACTATTGCTTAGGGCTGAGCTGCGGTTTAGACCTTGCCTTGATAAACAATAGCTAAACGATGTTTAAAATTCATTATTGAAATGCGACTGAACCGTGTTTTCTTAAGTCAAGGGTTAAACCATTTCTCACAAGGAAATTCCTTGTCTGCAAAGTTATTTTGTATACAAATTTCCAGATAGTGGTGATGTCTCTGCAACATGGCTTCTAAAACAAGCTGCACAACAAATTTCAGCAAACAAGAAAAACTTTTATCGGCTGAATTGGGTAAAGACTTTCCAGAAGTGGAAAGCAAAGGCTACGATAGGAAAACGTCCGCAAAAAAGGCAAAGGCATGGGAGGAAATTTTAACTAAATTTAATTCCCAAAATCTTAAAGGTATCAAACGCAACCCCAGTCAACTTCAAGGATGCTGGAGGCTGCTGAAACTCCAGTCGAAAAAGGAGCACGACCTACATTGTCATGAAAAGTGGACAACATCATAAAAAGTGAAAAGTGAAGTGAAAAGTGAAAAAACACATAATGAGAAAAGTGAAAAATGAGCAACATCATAAAACTCTCTAATGGTATCAGCCAGTTCTCTGGGAATGACAGGAATTGTCCTTTCTGTTTTGCAATAGCCCTTGAAACCTTGTGAATGACTGTGCATGCAGCAAATACAGAAACACCAAATAAAATTGTCGATAATCCTCTGGAAAGTTCCTGTCGCATAGAATCTTAAAGCAATTAGCACTTGCTGCGTTGGTGTAAGTGGTAGACCTCTCCTTGTTCAATGTTGCAAGACCTTTATCCAAAATTTTAACGAGGTCACTGACCGAGTCCTTTCTAAGGTGAAAACGCAATCGAAAGTCTTTGTGGTCGTATTCCTCTAATGGGTTGAATCTATACCTGGGGTGCCAAATTGTTCGAACATGTATATTTCATCGATTGGCGTAGTTTCTTAACTGTCTATACCGCAAAGGTCCCTCCATTTCAAAANGTCAGCTTCAAGGATGCTGGATGACAACATCATAAAAAGTGAAAAGTAACGTGAAAAGTGAAAAAAAAAAGAAAAATGAGAAAAGTGAAAAATGTGCAACATCATAAAACTTCCTCTTGGTATCAGCCAGGTTCTCTGGGAATGACAGAATTGTCACTTTCGTTTTGTAATAGCCCTTGAAACCTTGTGAATGACTGTGCATGCAGCAAATACAGAAACACCAAATAAAATTGTCAATAATCCTCTGGAAAGTTCCTGTTGCATAGAATCTTAAAGCAATTAGAACTTGCTGCATTAGTGTAAGCAGCAGACCTCCCCCTGTTCAATGTTGGAAGACCTTTATCCAAAATTTTTACGAGGTCACTGACCGAGTCCTTTCTAAGGCAAAAATGCGATTGAAAGTCTTCGTGGTTGTATTCCTCTAATGGATTAAATCTATACCTGCTTTGCAAAATTGTTTGAACGTGCATGTTACATCAATTGACATAGTTTCTTAACTGTCTATACCGCAGAGGTCCCTCCATTTCAAAATGCCTGACCATGAAAATATCCGTTTAAACCTACCTTTGATCAGGTCTAACTTACTATTGTTCCTTAGTCAGTGTTTAGACACTGCCTAAACATTGCCTAAACGCTGTTATGGAAAAACAATGTTTACTGTGCCTTTCCATAACATGTGGACTCTGAAATTCAAAGCTCAACCGACAAATGCATTTTCCGCTTCCATCAATCAAATGTTCGGCTGTTCCTCCCAGCTTCCAACTATGTTGTCTGAACTGTGNGTGAAAAGTGAAAAAAAAAAAAAGAAAAATGAGAAAAATGAAAAATGTGCAACATCATAAAACTTCCTCTTGGTATCAGCCAGGTTCTCTGGGAATGACAGGAATTGTCACTTTCGTTTTGCAATAGCCCTTGAAACCTTGTGAATGACTGTGCATGCAACAAATACAGAAACACCACATAAAATTGTCAATAATCCTCTGGAAAGTTCCTGTTGCATAGAATCTTAAAGCAATTAGAACTTGCTGCATTAGTGCAAGCAGCAGACCTCTCCCTGTTCAATGTTGGAAGACCTTTATCCAAAATTTTTACGAGGTCACTGACCGAGTCCTTTCTAAGGCGAAAATGCGATTGAAAGTCTTCGTGGTTGTATTCCTCTAATGGATTAAATCTATACCTGCGGTGCAAAATTGTTCGAACGTGTACGTTACATCAATTGGCGTAGTTTCTTAACTGTCTATACCGCAGAGGTCCCTCCATTTCAAAATGCCTGACCATGAAAATATCCGTTTAAACCTACCTTTGATCAGGTCTAACTTACTATTGTTCCTTAGTCAGTGTTTAGACACTGCCTAAACACTGCCTAAACACTGTTATGGAAAAACAATGTTTACTGCGCCTTTCCATAACATGTGGACTCTGAAATTCAAAGCTCAACCGACAAATGCATTTTCCGCTTCCATCAATCAAATGTTCGGCTGTTCCTCCCAGCTTCCAACTATGTTGTCTGAACTGTGCTCGATGATTTGATTTGATTATCATGTGCTCGGCAGTAGTCGGAAGCTGGGAGGAGCCACCAAACATTTGATTGACAGTAGCGAAAAATGCATTTGTCGGTTGAGCTTTGAATTTTAGCGCAGTGAATAATTGGTACTCAAGGTCTAAACATGGGTTGGACAATGACTTTCATAACCGTTATCTAAACTTTGTTTAAATTATCAGCCTGTTAAGTTTATGTTTTCTTACTTACTTTGAAGGTGGCTTGTCTGATAAGTTAGACATGAAGACTGAGTGACTGGGACAACTGATAACTGATTGTACTCCATCAATGAAGGTGGTCTGCCATAACCAGAGGGGCCTTCCAGAAGAAAATCCAAAAATAACACTTACTAAAATCTGAAACAATGTCAGGGCTGTCAGAGGGGGACATTGCGATTTGTGGTATTGGATAATTTTTCCTACAGTATTTCGGTAATTTTAATCTTGAAATGCGGTATTGTCAGAACCTGCAGGAAGCGGTTCTTAAGCAATTTGGACAGTATTAAAAATTATCAAGTTCTCCAATGTTACCAAGACTTTTCCAGTTTCCAAATGAAACTTAGCTCTCGTGGGAATGGAAAACTGCAGTTCTTTGTGTTGCAAACAGATACGGGCAAGTTTTTTTTTGTTAATTATTAGCCATAACCAGGTAATGGATGTTACCTACTTTGATTGTGTTGACTAAATCGAAAATAAGGTAACATAATATCATTAACAAATTCTTAATTGCTATTGCTCTAAACTTAACATACAGAGTAGTGGTTTTGGTATGACACTGAGTTTCAACTCAGTATAGCAGTATTTGGCGACCTTTGTTTGTGACATTGCGGTATTTGCTGAAATTTTTGCCCCATGGCCGTGTTCAAAACCCCCAAAGACCCCCCTCCCCCCCGTCACTAAGTCAGCTGCCACTATCCCTAGCTATTTTTGTTTTTCAAAACGGCGTACTTCAAAACTCAGTCACAACTCTGGTTCTATCTACGTAGAAGTCATACTGTAATGTGTCTTGTGTTGATTTGATCACATTAGTTGAATTGAAAAATTTAACATGGGTTAAGTGCATTAAAAACAATGATACACCCAGGGGATGAACAACAAACAGATGTGCATGTCTGTACTTAGTACTTAGTAGCGTACTAGCAAATAAATGGGTTGAACAACGAACAGATGCAGCATATGCAAGGAAAACACTCCACCAAATTCCATTTTGTGCAACAAAAAAGTGATTATAATTGAAAAAGAATTTGTATAA